GTGTGTGTGTGTGTGTGTGTGTGTGTGTGTGTGTGTGTGTGTGTGTGTGTGTGTGTATAATATTCTTTATATATACATTTCAAACTTTAACAATTGTCCATATACTTGTCAAAGAAAATATTCAATATTTACTAGATAGTAATAATATAACCATAGTTGAAAAATGTGAAATATACGGAAAGTATGCAAGAAAAGATTTCGAAGGATTTTATGGAATGGAAAACTGTTGTAGCTCGAACGAGGATAAAATGACAAAAGAATCTTAAATAAACTTACACAGTTCGAGACGTACTAATGCTGAATATTAAATGAGTTACCGTGTCATAGCCGAAGTTGTATCTATAGCAGAGTAGACGGAATAATGTATAACGGAACATAAAATATTAACAATTAAAATAAGAATCGATAGAAGAGATTATGGATATGTCTATCATGAAGATGAATTTCTTTTTACCCATTACAGCCAAAATATTGCAATGTAATTGCGAAATTTGTAATCAGAAGAATTATCTGCACATTGCTATAGAGCGGTTTTTTTTTTCTAAAAAAGATAAAATAAACAATTTGTTTTAATGTGTCATTAGATTTGCATCGTTAATTTAATAAATGTTTTTATTTATAATTTTTTAAGATTTAAATTATTTTGTTCTGTACCAAGCTACGTAACTTTATAACAAATATATCAAAAAAATTTCATGTTAAAATATTGCTTTTACTAAATATAATATGGTTGAACCTAAATATGTATTTGCATTGATAATTATCCATAAGAAATAGATATTCCTATTAGATTTGGCCCATTACTTCTGCCGACTCTTAACAATTATCTTAGAAACAACAAAATCTAATAATTTGAAAACAAATCAATCAAAATATCAAAACAATTTTCTTCGATATTATATAGGCAAGACTGCGTTAAAGCTTAGAAATTTCCATAGTAAAATCTTATCTTCATAGTAAAAAAAAATTATTATTTATGTATAATCGTTTAATACAACATTTATAAAAAAAACTGTATGCAAAAAATTTATTTATATTTAATTTATCAATATTGATTATTGATTGTTAAACTTAATCATGTAATTACATATTACATATACTATTGCATTATAATTAATAAAATTTAATTAAGTCTAATATAATGTTTAATTTACATGATCGAAAGTAGATTTACTAAAATTGACAAATTGTTTGCGACTCGAATATTTCCAGTCTAATCACGATCCATACGTCCATCAAAACGGTCTACCTAATATTCTGTCGATTTAGACAGGATGAAATCATTTGACACATACAGTCAGCATACTGAATGCCGAAAGCGAGATGGAGAACATGAGAATGCCATCGCCGCGGAAGAGAAAGGAAGATATCGCATAACGGGTCTTCTCTTCAGTAGGTCGATACGTGCAATAGTTGACACCGATTAGGATACCATGGAAAATGCACTTGTACATGTATGACCGCAGTATTTTCCATTAACCGTCTACCGTTATTTTTCAATAGAATTATATAACTTAATATTGTAGACAACAAAAATAA